CTCTACCTGTCTGTCCCCAGAGTTGTAACAACGTCTGCAGACATTGCCAAATGTTCCCAGGTGGGGACTGCAAACCATCCCTGGCTAAGAACCACCAAACTGGATGGCTATAAACTAATATTATGAACACTCTATTACTTGTCTTTCTTCAGATTACCTGGATTAATGCTGTGGACAGAGTAGGTACTCAAGTACTATTTACTGAACAAATGGAAAAATGAGAAAAGGACTTCATTGCTTATAGTTATAAGTGGCCTTACAGCAGAAACCCTTATATATTTAAGACTATATTCTATGATAAATACTTTTCTAGTTGGCATAGAGTATATTCTTAGTACATGAACATATTTCTAGTAACTATGTGTGTGTGCTAGAAATTATATATTTTTTTAAAAATTTTATTTTTATTTTTTTAATTAACTTATTTTTGTTACAGATGTTTTTCCTTCCCCCCATTGACACCCTCCTCCTATTTCCACCACCCCCTGACAGCATTGTTGTCTATGTCTATTGGTTATGCATATATGCATAAGTTCTTTGGTTTATCTCTTCCCTCCCCCCTTATGCCCCTCCTATGAGGTTTCTCAGTCTGAACCCTACTTCTATGTCTCTGAATCGATTTTGTTCTTATACACACAGAGATCATAATTGGCAGTAGCTTTGTCCTAGCACACAAACTATGAGCACGTCTGTGATGCCAGCATCCTGTCTGAATTAATTCTACATGGAAAAAGTATTACAACCCATCATTCTAAAAAGATTATGACAAGTAAAGGACCTCAGATGAATGTCCTCGGGAAATTTCCATTCTCTTTAAACAGAAATGTTCAAATATAAATGGATCATCAATCTTTTCCAAGATCAGAAGATTTGTAGTATCTGCTGCTATTTGGAGGACCTATATCAAGTGACCTTTCAGCATGAGCTATTAAAGACTAATGATGTTAGTTTGATTTTCATGAAGCAGTCCTTTTTGACCATCAGCGATGAAGAACACTGATGACGTGTTCATTCTCACATTCTCTCTACAGATTCTTCAGTCCTCCATCAACAGGCTCCACTTTCCAAATGACCACTAATAAAGTGTTCTTACCAAAAGAAAGGCAAATGTAGATGAAAGAGCAAAGACTTGCGTGACTTCCCGTTTGGATACACTCACTCACTCGTTCCTCTGGTGGCTTATCACCAGATACCCCCTTTTGGAGGGAATCCCAATTTAGCAGCAGACCTCCACTAAACACTGTGCTGAAAAGAAACCAACTTCTACTTTTGGCTACGCTCTAGCAAGTCAACGCCCTCACCACATAAAACCTGGAAAGCCAGACGAACCACAAGAAACATCTACTTAAAGGCATGTGATAGCGGACGTGACTAGTAGGAGGTGAGTGGCTAAGACCTCAGAGAGAAGATAACTACAGAAAAAACAGCTTAGGTTCTGCGCATGCTTTTTCCCTTGTAGAACTTGCTGATTCTTGTCCTGGCGCTAGAAACTGAGAATCTGGACATGGGGTAGAGAAGTCTGTAGAGTTTTGGCAATCCCATGGGGGTAGAGAGACAAAAATTAGCATTTTGATGCTGCCAGAGGAACTGGGTATTAAGGGGTCAAATAAGCAGTGAGAAAGGAGACAGACAAGCGGCCAGTGGGAAGGACTTCCCCTCAAGGCGTTTGCCCAAGGAACAAGAAGCTAAAGAGCTCAGCAGAAAACCTCTGTAAAGTCCAGTGGAGAGGCCAGCAATCCTGTTGTCTACGAAGGAAAACATCAGGATTTGGGAAAGAGGAGCAGAACACAGTAAACGTCTCAGTTTCTCAGTTGGGCCCACTGGAGAAATGTACCCACAGAGTGGAAACAAACTAGAGGTGGGTGAAGCCTTATTAACATGCCTTATAAACACAACAACAGCTCAGTCTCTGCCCTGGCAGGGGTGGCTCAGCCGGCTGGGCATCATCTTGTGCACTGAAAAGTCACAAGTTCAATTCCCGACCAAGGCACTTGCCCAGGTTGCTGACTTGATTTGCACTTGGGGGTGTGCAGGAAGCAGCCGATCCATGAATCACTCTGGCATCGATATTTTTCTCTTTCTCTCTCTCTCTCCAAAAATCAATAAAAATGTTTTGTTTTTTTTAAATCAAGTCAGTCTGGGATTGAATTAAGGTGATCTGTTCACATTCTATGTGCCCACCCTCCAGGAGAGAATGTGTTGCCCCCAATCTCAGCCAACAGCTTCTAGCTCCTTCTGCCTCACCCGCAGAGAGCTGCCACGCCCTTCCTGGGAAGGACCACATCCAGTGCCTGACTGGGGCTGGGGGTAAACAGCCATGCCCAAGTTAACAACGGGGACACGTGCTGAGAAGTGCGTCCCTGGGCGATCTCATCCGTGTGTGTGCACTGACAAAACTCTAAATGCAACCTCCCACGGACCTCAGCACGCGGTACACCTGGTGCTCCTGGGCTACAAGCCTGTACAGCACATTCTGTACAAAACAACTCGAGATTAAATCAAGTTCAAGAGAAGGCGCAATCAAGACCAGAGTAAACACCAGGTGGCCGAGGCTGCTGCCAGCGCAGCGTGGCATACGTTTCACAGCAAACTCCTTTTTCACGGGTAGAAAGAGTACACTCTCAAATAATGATAACAGGTAGAGCACAGCGAATACATAAAGCAGCTGCACGTAGTCATTTATTTTCACTATCCAGGATTATGTGCAGCCAGAACCGTGCGCGCTATTCTTTCCTATGCCAAGAAGTGCAGCACCGCCACAGACATGTGAGTGACGCATTGGGCTGCGATGTTATGACGGCTCCGATGTCACTGGGCGAGAGGAATTTTTCAGCTGCATTATAATCTCATGGCACCATTGTCATTTATGAGGTCCATCACTGACCAAAACGCCATTATGCAGCGAACACTGTGAAGACCCGGCTATCTCGGCCCGATATGGAACAACTCTTTCAGGCCACGTGTGCCCCAGGGCTCGCCATGGTCTTAGCTGAGGCTTTAATGAGCCTGGATCTTGTTTCAGCACCTCTCTCTGCCCAGTTCTGCGTTTTCTCTCTTCTTTACACAAGTGCTGATAAATAGCCTGTGCAACAAACTCTCTGTCAGAGACTGTTTCTGGAAACCCACTTGGGACAGTCCCAGGAGTGGTCCGTGAAAGGAAGTGATGTCATGGGCTTCTCGATCTGGATCGGTCAGGCTGGATGGCAGTGGAGCTGACATCATTGACGGGTGAGTGGAGATAGACTTTCCCTGGCATAAGGGGGTGGTCCGATTTTTACCCTCATCAGAGGTGAATGGGAATAGTCTGCCTGTAGAAAAGCTGCACGGAACGGGGCAGCTCATCGAGTGTTTGAGATGCGCAGAGGAAACAGCGATGTGGACAATGGCTGGATGGCTTCCTGCTGAGACCAATGTCCTAGAGAAAGAAACTCAAAGCTACAGGCAACCGTAACTCGTGTGTGAAAGTCAAAGGGCCTCTCTTGTAACTTAGAAAGAAGATCTTACAAGAGAGTCTAAAAAGCTGAAAACAGACAAACAAAAAAAATTGATAATGTAGACCCATTAAAATTAAGACCTTGTATTTCATCACAGACACTAACAAGAGGGCGAGAGAAAGGGCAAGCCACAGAGTGGGGACTCTTCACAATACATACACCCCACAGCCTGCATACCCAGAATGCACAAAGAACTCTAAGCCGAAAACAAAGACAGACCACTCATTCAAAAAATGGGCAAAATGCTTGGGCAGACACTTGGCAAAAAGAGATATTCAAAAAACTTGGAAAATTCAATCAAATTCATCAGGAAATGCAACTTAAAACCACAAAGAGACACCACGATACTGTTATCAGAGTTGCCAAAATGAGAAAGACAGACAATGCCCTGGCTGGTTTGGCTCAGCGGTCGAGCATTGGCCCACGGACCAAAGAGTCGCAGGTTCAATTCCGGTCAAGGGCGCGCACCTCGGTTGTGGTTCGTCCCCGGCCCTGACTGCCCTGGTCAGGGTCCTGCGGGACGCAACTAGCCGATGTGTCTCTCTCAAATTGATGTGTGTGTCTCTCTCTCTATCTTTCCCTCCCACACTGTCTGAAAATAAATGGAAAAATATCCTGAGGTGAAGATTAAAAAAATAAAAAGACAAGGCCAGTGTTGGGGAGAATCTGGAGCCAAGGGTATAAATTGCTACAACCACTTTGTTTTTTTTTAATCCTCACCCAAGGATACCTTTTTCCATTATACTTTTTTCCATTTATCTTCAGATAGAGTAGGAGGGAGGGAGGGAGAGAGAGAGAGAGAGAGAAACATCAATGTGAGAGAGACATGTCGACTGGTTGCCTCCCGCACAACCCTGATCAGTGCCAGGGACTGAACTACAACGGAGGTACGTGCCCTTGACCGAAATTGAACCCACAACTCTGGTCCATGGGCAGATGCTCCAAACCGGCCAGGGTAGCTACGACCACTTTAAAAACTCTTTTGCTGAACAAATACATAGCCATGCTCAACCAAAGACATGTGCAAGAATAGTCATAGCATCCCTACACACAATAGCTGGAAACAACTCAAATGTCCCTCAACAAGAAAAATACGTTGTGATATAATCATATACTAGAATATCGAACAACAGAGAATGAATGAACCACAAGAAGATGAAAACATAATGGATCTCTTAAACATAATGTGGCACAAAGGCAGGTAGACACCAAAGGAGTACATACTGTTTGATTCCACTGATAGCAAGTTGAGGAGTAGGCAAAACCACCTAAGGTGCTGGGAGTCAGGAGAGAGGATCTTTTGGGAGGGTGGAATGACGGGGAGGGGGCTTGAGAGTGTTTCTGGGATGCTGATAACATTCTGTTTCTTGATCTGGATGCTGATCCCATGGGGCTGGTCAGGTTGATAGAACTGATTGCACTGTACACATTATTTGCATGCACCCTTGCATGGATGGTACACTTCAAGGAAAACATTTAGAAAGGCAACAGAACACAGACACTTACCTTGCTTTCCTTTTTCCTGCTCTGGTGAGAAGCAAATCCTGCTGACGTTGTTGCTTTCAGTTTGGTTTCTGAACTGGGCGCACTCGAGGAAAGTGGGCCAGGAGGCGTTCACCATGCCCAGGACTGACTCGCAGCCCTCTTTTGCTGCTTCACAGAAGGACCGGCAGGGCAGGAGTCCATGACTAGAAGAAAAGAGAAAGGTGAAAATTAATATTTTTACAGGCTGCTTCTCAAAATAATCATGAAATTAAAGTTGGCAATGAGGACTGTAATAGTATCTTAATTTATATTTATTATGTCAACAACTTACATTTCTACATTCAATCTCATAACATGAATGTCGGCCCCCTAACGTCACGGCGCGAGAGGGAATAAGCTAGTTCCATAACAGGTCATCTAGCTGCACCCCGCAGAAGCGCTAACTCCCCCAATCCGTGTTTTTTTAGATTTGGGGTGTTAAAGTAAACCTGTCAACCAAAAAAGAGCCCTACTTAATAACAAAAGCAGTAAATTAACATGGAAATGAAGGCCCCCAAAATGGAAAGGCACAAGTAGGTCACAAAATAGGTTAATCTCATTTCTTTTTCTTCCCTCTGAGAAATTCAAAGTATCTCTGAGAGGCAGAGAGAAAGCTGTTTCTTAATTTCCTCTACCTCCCTGGAAAAGAAATATAAAAACTAACGGCAAGTCAATTATTTATGGACAGTGATAAACAATGTATTTATCGACACTTTATCTTCTCAGATTTCTATTTTATCTTCTGCAAAACAGAAAAACGCAGACAACTGTCTGTTAACTGTAAGAGAAACGATGCCTGGAAGTTTGTCTTTATTCATCTGACACGCCACCAAATACTCCTGGTTCCACAGTGTGTCTGGGGACTCGGATGCTACAAAGGCCAGACAGTGGCCTGTCCCCTTACAGACCCAGGCTTTCCCTACTTTGCCCCCACAGACCACCTCTCTCACCCGGCTGGCGAGCGAGCTAGCACAGCATTTCAAATGGCTTTAAGAAAACTGGAAAAGAAAATACACATGTCAGTCAGAGCAAAGCACACACCTCACAAACGTAGTGTTACTAAAATATTTCAGAGCCACACAATATTTGATCTGTAAGAGACCTTAAACAATACCTCATTCAAATCCTTCATTTGAGACAGGACCTGATTCTGAGATCTACAGAAGGTCACACAGCTTTTTTTTCCCCCCCAATATGTTTTTATTGATTTTTTTAGGGAGAAAGAGATAGAAACATTGATATGAAAGAGCAATATTGATCAGCTGCCTCCTGCACACTCCCCACTGGGGATCGAGCCCGCAACCCAGGTATGTGCTCTGCCCGGGAATCAAACCAGGACCTCTCAGTCCATGGGATGATGCTCAATCCACTGAGCCACACCAGCCAGGCGGTCACATAGCTTCTTAATGGAAGAATTGAGAAAAGAATCCAGCTGTTTTGACTTTCAGTCCACAGACTCTGTCTACTCTCCTGTATTCGCTCTTCTCATATAAGGACCTAATAATTGGGCTTTAAAAGTTCCTTGACCAAACTAGTACAATTACAATACCCCATTCATCCTTCTACAAATTACAGAAACATAATGGGATGTGCCATCCACTGAGTTAAAACAGAACTGATAAAGTCCTGTGAAGAATCCTGGGAGAGAGATCTCATTATATATAAAAAGGTGGGTGGAGCCCGGCCGGTGTGGCTCAGTGGTTGAGCATGGACCCATGCACCAAGAGGTTGCTGGTTTGATTCCCCATCAGGGCACATGCCCAGGTTGTGGGCCCGACCCCCAGTGGGGGGCATGCAGGAGGCGGCCAATCGATATTCTCTCTCATCGATGTTTCTATCTCTTTCTCCCTCTCCTTTCCTCTTTCTCTCAAAATCAATAAAGAAAAAAATTTTAAGAAAATAAATAAAAACGTGGGTGGAAAAGGAGAATTCAGCAATTTTATTCAGATACGAGTGCTTTTGACCTTCCTCTCAGAAACTTATGTCAAAACTAAATATATTTTCTTTTAAAATTAATTTTAGAAAGAAAAAAGAAGGGGGAGCAAGGGGGGAGAGAGAGAGAACATCGATTTGTTGTTCCACTTATTTATGCACGATTGGTTGCTTCTTGTATGTGCCCTGACCGGGGAACCTGCAACCTTGGCCTGTCAGGATGATACTTTAACCAACCCGCTACCCAGCCAGAGCCAAAACTGAGTGTCTTTTAGAGCCCTGGTATTCATATAGTTATCTACCTACATTCATATGTAAGTACATTTGTTAGTGAACATGTGGAAGGAGAGGTTTTGCGCTTGAAAGATTAGGTTTAGGGCATAAAATATTGACAGGTCCATGCAAGTATCTTGGTGTAAAGAGAACACCTGACTGTCATTCAAAAACTATGTTTAGGTATTTACAGACTAAGAAAGTATCACTTCAGTAACATTTCTCTTATTCCAGAGAAAATAGAGACTCGATTTTCTCAAATAAAACTTGGGCACATGGTTGAGGAAGATGGAGAACACAGAATCCCTGTGCAGTTGCCTGCACTTTGCTAGACGTTGTTCTGAGTGCTTCGAGGGCATTCACGCTTGTATTTCTCACTGCAGCCAAGTGATACATGCTAGTATGTCATTCCTAATACCCAAGTAAGGAAACTGAAGCATGGGAAAAATAAGAGGCTCGTCCAAGGTCATCGAGCTAGTGAGGGTCAGAGCCAGGATTCAAACCCAGGCAGACTGACGCAAGGACTCAATCTATTAACTACTCTATGACTCTATTACATGTCAGTCCTTCCTTTAGGAATATGTGTTCCAAGAGCACAATTCAAGGGTAGTTGAGAACTTGACAGGCACTTTCCAAGTGGACCAAACATATACACGGAGTTTGGGTCCTCCCTTCACTCTACAATCGCTGGTTAACCTGCAGTGAATCGGCATTTGCCAAAGGGGCTAAGGAACACAGGGGAAGAGTAAAGTCACTGAACTTTCTTTTCCAGGTGTGTGAAAGCCCACAGTAAACATACAAGTCAGTGAGGCTTGGCTTTGGCATTGCCTCTGGGTCCCTGACGTGGATCCCAGTCTGATGTGGTGCCGACCCCCCTCCAGCACCCCACCTAAGCAGCCATTTCACCAGCATTACTTGCTCTTAAAGTTTCTTCCTTTCCTACAATCAAACCCAAGTGAGCAGATCACAATTAGGCTTTCAAACAAAAAGGATGAAAATAACAGATCAATTTATAAGAATAGATGGACACTTCACCCTCCCAAAGGTGTTTGCATCACTAAAAGATTTGCTGGGACAAAGGAATGTCTAATTAATGGCATTCCAGGTGACATTCCCAGGAGGGAAATGCCATCCAGCATCGTGGGGAGGGGAGAGCACTGCGAAGCTGGCATTCGAGGCCCAACTCCCCCAAGGCTCCTGGACCTTTCCTCGCTTTTCCACTCACATAGTTTGGGATCACGCCACATTTCTCCTCAGAGTCGTCTCTAGTAAGAGCAGTGAAGTCTCGTGCAGGGGCCCAGCAGACTGGTTCCTGTTCGAAGGCTGCGTCTTCCACTCGGAAGCTGACATTCTCAGACTCTTCCTATGGTCACTTTCTGCAGGAAAGGGTAAGTCCAGCACCCTAGACGGTCCACGTGGCCACTCCTCACTGTGATCTTGTGCCAACAGTTCGCTCACACTGAGACTCCGTTTCCTCATTTGAAAAGTGAGAGTTTGGAAGAGCTGAGCTTGCACGGCTCTTTTAGCACTAACATTTCATAAATCAAAACTTATGCTTTAACACGATGCTTCTCAGAGGAGCAGTGATATCCCACAAGCTTTGCTACATTTCAAAAGGTAACAGACATTTTTTTCTCGAGATTTGTTCTGGGAATATATAGAGGCATTAAAATGCCATTAGGCCTTCCATTCTAAAAATAGGCCCCAAGAAAAATGTCTAGAGTGTTTCCAAATAGCTCTCTTAAGAGGTGTAACCAATGGAGACCCGTAAGCTTTCAATCGCTGGCCTACGACTTGTGAAACAGTGAGAGAGTATTAATAACTAGCAGCCCTTTCGAACAGTGAGCAAAATGAGGGGCCATTTGCTCATGTTTGCATTAAATTCCACTGCCTGTGAGGGGTTGAAGTATTTTGCTTTCATCACATGGAACCGTGTGGTGAGATGGACCACACTATTTTGGAATACAAGTGTCTATATCCAAGCAACAGGCAGGCTGACATCTGAAAACTGCCCCGCACAGGGCAGCGGTCGGATCTGGCTATCAGAATCCTATTTTAGAAATGGTGATTATTTTACATTGACGTGTGAAGTGCTCTGGTGTTGTGCAAAAGTCCCCAACACATTTCAGCTAAAGCGTAAGCAGAAAACAAGTATATAATCAATTATACTATATAAGGATACTGAGGTTTTTATTGTATTTCTACTAGGAGGGATGTTCTAAAATGATTTCTCTCTTAAAAAAAGAACTTATAGAAGATTTTTATCTATACATTTTAAAGCAAATTTATCTACCAAAAGTTTTAAAATGTCCTGACCAAAAAAATTTCTTTCTTTTTTTTTTTTATCCTCACCCGAGGACATTTTTCCATTTTTTGTTCAGGTAGAGTGGGAGGGAGAGAGAGGAACAGAGAGAGAGAGAGAAACATCGACATGAAAGGAACACATCGAGTGGCCGCCACCCGCACAACCGACCAGGGCCGGGGACAAACTGCAGCCGAGGTACGCGCCCTTAGCGGGAACCGAACCCGGGTCTCGCAGGACCGCAGGCCGACGCTCTAACCGCTGAGCCAAACCGGCCAGGGCCAAAAAAATTTCTTTATTGTGCCCTTTTGAACAACGTGTCTCCATCCCCCCCGAAAAATTTTAGACTTTATCTGCAAAGAAAAAGTTCTGATAAGACCTAATGCTAAAATTATTGACTAAGCTCCTGCTACAAAATCGGCTTATATAAGTAGGAATTTTTAAGTTTTACAAATCACGTTTTCTAACTTTTTAACTACTTTTTGACCTACAGAAAAGTTACAAAAGGTTTCCACGTATTCTGCTAACACTTTACACAACTACAGAATCATGATCAGAACCAGGAAATTAACATCAGTATAATGTCTTTAACCAAACTAAGGACCCTGTTCAAATATCCCTAAAATCTCCATTCAGGATCCCATATCTCATTTAGTT